TAGGAGCACCATGAATGTTGGGTCTTATCACGTGGATTAATACATCCTCTTACATGTAGGCTTGATATTAACTACAAATCTTGTCAGATGGAATAACAATGGGCTTTCCAGGATGAAACTTGGGCTTTCATACCATGTGAAAATTGTGGATGTTGGCTTCAACATACGACTTACATCCAACCTAAAACCAATTAGCAATAGGTAAAGTAGTCATCCTTATATTTAACTTACATACTTTGGGTCCTGTCACATGGCTCAATACACCCCTTTATATGCAAGCTTGTTATCAACTTCAAGTTCTATCAAGTGAGCTAACAACCAGTTTCTAAGGATTGATCCATGATTTTCTTTTTTATTATTAAGCCATATTTTCATGGATATAAGATGAGAATTACAAATACAAGAATGTGCTAATATTAAACTTGTCCTCTCCAATATAATGTCTTGGATCCCTTCTATTTCCAATCGCCCATGCATTGGTGCCTTAGATTTGGCAACTATCAATTGGTTAAGGTAGACAAGAATGTGTTCTTCATCAAGGATACCTTTTTCTAGCAAAGAACTTCCTCCCCTCTAGTTATTGCTTTTGATGTTTTTTTAACATTTTCCCCATTTTCCATTCAAAAACACAAATATCTAAACATTTTTTATAAATTAAGATAAAAATGAAAAAAAAAGGGAAGAAACTTAAGGAAAAAAAAAAACCTCACTTAAGTAAATCAAAATATAGGTAAAGCATCTGCCTCTCACTTCGGGTAGCCATTGCACTTCAAGCAGTCATTTCTTCATACAACTTTCGAACTTTTTTTTTTTTTGTGTCTAGATTAACCACTCACCCCCCATTTCTCTACCAAAGAACTCTCAGCTCTCACGATGAATTCTTTACTATTCTAGAACTTCTAATCAACTTCTTACCCCTTCACACACCACAGATTATTCCAATGACTAAGATTTGTAGAGCACGTTGCATTTGTTCATATTTATGTCCTATGCACATAAGTTATGGAAGTCCATCACCTCTTCACTTATCTCTTCTACGCATGAGTTACGAAAGTCCATCACCTTCACATCTTTTGTCTAGTTGCTTCAAAAAAGACTTCCAAGCTTTGCATTTTTAGACTCGTGCTTTAGTTGAAGTAGGTTTGATATTCTATTTTTACTTAACTCA